CACTGTGTCGGCTGTGATTTCCGGGATGGGGATGGCTTCTGGCCAACGGGTGAAACGGTCGACTGCAGTGAGGCAGTATGTGTAGCCTCCTGATGTCGGAAGGGGTCCAACAAGGTCTATGTGGACGTGAAGAAATTTGGCTGCCGGGGATGTAAAGTCGCCCAATGGGGTCACTGTGTGGCGGGAGACTTTGGAACGCTGGCAGGATTGACAAGCACGTGCTCAGGTGCGGCAATCCTGCACGCCTGGCCACACGAAACGCTGTGCGACCAGTTTTGCCGTTGCTTTGGTCCCTGGGTGCGACAAATCATGGACGGACTGGGACACTTCGAACCGTATAGGAGCTGGGATTTACGGCCGAGGTTTCCCGGCAGAGGTATCGCAGTAGATGGACACCGTTGTACCGGAGATTGGTAGCTTTTAGAGCCGCAAAGCGGTGTTTGACTGCCAAAGCGACTGGCGCTCGTCGTCGCTGTCCTGCGATGCGGCCAATGCGTCGTAGGATGGTGGCGCAGTGACGGACTCGAAGAGGGAGAGCGCATCGGCAACAACGTTGTCCTGTCCCGAGATGTGTCTGATGTGGGTCGTGAATTGTGCTATGAAATCCAGGTGGTTGAATTGCCTAGGTGAGCATTTGTCCCTTTTCTGCTGGAAAGCGTAGGTAATAGGTTTGTGGCCTGGGAAGATGCTGAGGTGGCGCGCTTCCAGCATGTGGCGAAAGTGCTTTACGGCCTCATTGATGGCCAGCAGCTCGCGGTCATACGCACTGTAATTTTGCTGGGCCGGGTTGGGTTTCCTTGAGAAGAATGCCAGGGGCTGCAAGGCGATCTTGACGCGTTGCTGTAGCATGGCACCCATGGCGGACGTGGAAGCATCTGTGACGAGTGCAAGTGGCGCGGATGGATCGGGGTGAGCCAGTAGTGTGGCGTGTGACAAACTCGCCTTGCACTATTCGAAGGCCCTGCGGAGTTCCGGTGTCCAAGTGATGGGGTGGGAGCTCTTGACACTGGGTTTGGAAAGACGTCGTGCAGTGGTGCCTGGTATGCTGCCGCGGGGGGCAGAAATCGCCTGTAGCAGTTCAGCATGCCCATGAAACGGCGGAGCTGACTGGCGGTATTGGGATGTTGACATTCCTTTAGGTTATTCGTTCTTCCAGCGGTTGGGAGCCTTCGGCGGACATCTTATAACCGAGGAAGATGATCTCAGGTACTTGGAAGACGCACTTGGCCGAGTTGATGAGGATCCCTTACTTCTGCCGTCGGTCGAAGGGTGCCCGTAGGTGTTACTCGTGTTCCTCTAGAGACCGGGAGAGGATGAGGATATCATCCAGGTAAGCGAAACAGAAGTCGAGTCCCCGCAGAATGTTGTCCATGAAACGTTGGAAGGTCTGTGCGGCGTTGCGCAGGCCGAAGGACATGAAGGGGAACTCGAATAGGCCGAATGAAGTGGTGATGCCCGTCTTCTGTATATCGTCGTGATGGGCGGGAATTTGGTTGTAGGCTCTCACCAGGTCAATCTCGCAGAAGACGGATAACTGAAAAGCTGGTGGGAGTAGTCATGGATATGTCGGACGGGGTAGCGGTGGGGATGGTCCGGGAGTTGAGCGTTCTGTAGTCGCCGCATGGACGTCAACCGTTGTCTTTCTTGGGCACAATGTGGAGTGCCGAGGACCATGAACTTTTTGATCGGGCTTTTGCGATAGCGAGTCGGTCCGGTGCCAGTCGACGTGGTCGGCAGGTTACTGGTGGGCCAGGTACAGTCCTGATGTGGTGGACGGTGTTGTGTTGTATCTCGCGCTGGATTCCAGCTGGGCGGGTCAGGTCCGGGAACTCTGTGATAAGGCTGTCGATCGGTGTGTTGCTGCTGATTGTCTTTACACTGGGGATCAGTGCGTTGGCCGCTGATGCCGAGGCTGAGAGCTTCGTGACCCCGTCCAGGATGCGGCTGTTCCGACAGTCCATCAGGAGGCCGAAATGCGACAGGAAGTCCACGCCGATTATAGGATGCGGGACGTCGGCCACTACGAAGCGCCACGTGAATTCTCGGCGTAGGCCTAAGTTGAGGCTGAGAGGCAGCCATCAGTATGTGTGGATGGACGTGCCATTAACCGCACTCAGGTCATAGTTGGTACGTTCCATGTGTCGATGGACGAGCCTGCGGAGTATACACAGAGGTCCGAACCTGTGTCGACAAGGAACTGCCGTTTGCTGACTCTGTCCGTTATGAAGAGGCGGCCTGTTGTCGTAGCGCAGACATGTGCCGCCGATGATTTCCGCTGCATCAGTTTCCCTGCTTGCGGTAGGAGAAGGGTGGAATAGAGTTTTGTGCCCGAGCGCCAAAGCGGCGGTGGTACCAGCAGATAGTGGATGTAGTGTCGTCCTTGGAGGGCCATCTGCTGCCGGGCCGGCGGTTGTTGAAGGCGGGGCGGGAACCCTTGGGACTGGAGCCTTGGTCTCTCGGTTTGTTTGTTGTCAGATTCCCTGAAGGGGGGTGGAGGCGGTCCTGTTCGGTGCTGAGTGCAGCCACTTTGCGGGAGAGTTCATCGATCTCCTGCCGAAGTGCGCCGATGTCCGTGGGTTCATCAACGCTAGCGAGCGCTGGCTGGACTTCGACCTCGGAGCTGCGGTCCGCACAGAGTGCTGCGGCCTCCAAGAGGATAGCCGCCTCACAATCTCGGTCCTGAGTAGGGTGTAGGGTCTTCATATGGGTGGAGAGGTGATGATGTCCTCAACCTCTCTGGCGCATCGGTTGTCCAGCTGTGAGATGACATGGCAGAACTTGATCCGCTGGCTTTTATGCCGGTCAAGGTGAATTGCACCTCGGCCTGGGCAAACCAGACAGCTGGTCTCTCGGGCCAGAACGGCGGGAGCTGCACGACCATTCTGGGCACTTCTGTTGATGAACTGTCTGCGGTTTCCATGTTCAGTCGGGGTCACCAATGTGGGATGTCATATGAAGAGACAACCACTAGTTGAACTGTCCTATAGCATTTATTACAGTTGCACCGTATAAACAGACGAATTTGCGTTTAAAGTAATGAAGAATAATGAGAACAATAATGAACACACTGAACCAGAATTGTAGAACTGTAGAATCTAGAACTGTGACTGTAACTGTATCTTCCTATGTAACCTAG